TATGGTACTGCTCACTGGATATGGCGAGCGGATTCTGGGTGGTGAAGCTGACGGATCGGGCCTGCCTGATCTCGGCCTTTATTACCATTTGGACTCTTCGAGTGGAAGCCGATGCCTTTTGGGCTGAAGAAGGCGCCGTAGATCTACCAACGGATGATCGACAATGCCTTGTATGGGTTCACTCGGATCCCAAAATTGGCAGGCGATCTGGAGCATCTGGATGTATTCGAGGCCGGAGAACCCGAACATCCGGGCAAACCATCGGTGCTAGGACGCAGATCCTACATCGACGACATCTTAGTGCCAGCAGACAATTTGGATCAGCTATGCGACCGCGTCGAAGATCTGCTGGAGGCGTGCGACAAATGGAACTTGTCGATCAGCGTTGTCAAGAGTTTCTGGGGCATGCCCAAGGTGGAATATCTCGGTCACAAGGTATCGCACGACGGACTGGAGGCGAATCCGAAGGATCTGTCGGCGCTGACGGATCTCGAGTTTCCCGGAACCCTGCGTGCCATGCAATCCTTTTTGGGCAGCCTGAACTATTAAAGTCGCTTCGTCAAAGATTACGCGATTTACGCATCTGTGTTGTATGAGTTGAGGGAGATCGACTATGCTGCGATGGAGAAGGGATGAATCGGAGCCGGATCCAGCTAGCACTAGCATCGGAATCCCCGGATCCAGACATATTGACCAAGGATCCGGCGAGTCCGCAACCTTCGGATCCGAGCCCGCAGGGTCCGGATCCCGAACTTAGCGATCAAGATCCGAACCTAGCATCACGGGATCCGACGCCTGATTGTGTGAAGACGTTGAACCCCGAGAACGACGATCTTGCGGATCTGGATCTCAGGTGGATCCATGCTCACCGATCCTTCGAGGTATTAAAGGAGAAGATCGCGAAGACGCCGATCCTGCGGCACTTCGATCCGGATCAACAAGCGGTGGTGGTTGTATATGCCAGTGATTGGGCGATCTCCGGTGCATTGATGCAAGAGTATGATCAGGTCTACTATCCGGTGATGTTCGCGAGCCGTACGTTGAAATCCAACGAATTAAACTATGGGATCACAGAGAAAGAGGTGTTGACATTGTTGCGGGTCCTGGATCTCAACTATAATACTTTGGTTGGGAGACCGATACGCGACACTCCACACTGGCTTGGTTATTTAGATCCAGCGCATTACAAGGACGCCTAGGACAGTGGGCCGCACTACTTTCACCCTGGATCCTCGAGATCGTCAAGTGTAACAAGGGCGAGGACGAGATCCTGGGCACATTAGCAGCCAGTATCACACCCA